GAGCTGTCAGCACAGAGCCCAATGCAGGGCTTGAACTCATGAACTGTGAGATCATGACCTGAGCTCAAGTCTGATGCTTAACGCACTGAGCCACACAGGCGCCCCTCTCCAGATGATTCTTAAGCAGGAAGCATTGCACTAGGAGATTCAGCTAGGCACTGGGATTTGGAACCATTGGATTGAGAGAATTCTATCTTCAAGCCCTTTATTAAAATAAGTACCCCTGAAGTGAAGTAGCATTGACGTTGCAACTTACTTTCAAATGATTTAGCAAACTAAAAAAGAAAGAATTGTATGTGTGTATGGGTATTTGTAGAGAAAGGGAAAGCAGGTATGCCAAAGGTTTTCTTCTGCCATAGCATATTTATAAAAATGATATGACTTAGGTTCAAGTAGAGAAGGTAACTAGATTAAAGTAATTAGCCAGCAAGCAAGTGGCAAAACCAGAACTTGAGCCTGCATGCCCTTTGCTCATTACTACAGGCTGGAGTTTGATGTTCTTTTTCATGTTAGCTTGCCTGGTTCACCATCCCAGACACCCAGGAATGTGGCTGTGTTGCCCAGGAGCAAGCTTGAAAATATAGTCATTGACTTCCATTGTTATGAGTCATTACCCCCTTCTCCTCCACTTCTTCCCTCCCTCTTTCCTGTGTCATTACCCCCACCCCTCCACTCTCCCCAGTTATCACCATTCTTTTTGTTAGACTTTGGGGTCTGGGCATGTTCATATGTTTTATTTTGGCTTTTAATTAGAACCAAGTGTTCTGTTCTTTGAGTTGGGTAAATACAGAGATAGGCTTGATTTGCGTGGCCCAGACTTACTATTTCAGTTTTGAGGCCACTTCTTAACTAGACTAAGTTGCAGATTTGCCCTGTTGGTGGCCTGAGATTTAGAATTGATTCACAATGATGGCAACTATTAAATGTTTTATATTTTTTAATACTGTACTTCAGCCACAGAATGTGTTGATTAAATATTGCTATTAAATTGTCTTTCTTCCTGTAGCATTTCCTAAAAGTTTTGATTCAAAGTAGAATTCTTTACGTTGTTGACTCTTTCTCTTTCTTTCTTTTTCTCTTTCTCTTTGTTTTCTTTCAGCAATAATTTATTCCTACCTGATGATTAAAGAAAGCGTCCTCTGTAAGAATTGTTTTACTTTATTGTTGACCTCTTGGAGGTCTGCCTTTAATTTCTTCTGCTTTTTGAACTCATGATGGCATTTTTATATAATGTGTAAAAGAGCATCAGGAGACAGAGCCAAAATGGTCTTTCTTGCTTTTATACAAATTAAATTGCCCTTGTGGCCCAGTATAAAATCTAAGCTCTAAGAGCAGTTATTTATTTTGACAACAGAATTAATTGAGCCTAAAACAGTTGAAATTCCAGTTGTAGCAAACTATTCTTTCTGACTCTTACCCTGGCTTTGGGACTGTCAAAAAAAGTAACTTGTCTTAGGATTAAATAGCAGAATGATGGGCAGTGGACTGCATTTGAGGAAGATGCTGAATAAACTTTCTACTTGTGAAACATTTCAGAAGTGACGTGATGCAAGGGGGTCACAGTGTGCACTGATATCCAGCTGAGCTGTCAACTGGCACAGAGCCAGGCACGCAAAGCTTTGCCATGGGAAGTGGCGTGTGGAGCATATGCCATTTGGAAATCTTTTTCATGCATGAGTTAATGTTTCTTTTTAAAGGGCATATTTAGTTTTATTATACCAGAAACTGTTAATATTTCTGTCTTTAATAGAAAAGCTTATGTGCTGAAGGTATTCAGTTTAAAATTTTTATATATATTTTACAGTTTGAAAGGATCTGGCATCTTCGGTTTCAAAAGTGTAATTTTGAATAGTTTGTTTTTATTGGACATTTTCCTGTTTCAAATAGATTTTAAGAGGATGTTTAGAAAAGGGAAAGGGAAAAGCAATCGAGGTATGTCTGGTATAGGAAAAAGATTTTGAGAGAAAAAATGTAGAACTTTGAGGGAATTTTTGTAGAGTTAAAGGGATGCCTTTGGTATTTTCACATATATGAAGGCATCCAAAGATCTTAAAAGAATAATATATTTGCTAAGGTGATGTTACAGAAGTCTTCTTAGATACTCTATTTTTTTGTATTTTAAAATCCTGCAGTTTGTTTGGCATTGATGTTTTGTTTTTCCTCTCTAAGCCCATAGCTTGATTATTTGAGATTATGTGAAAAGTTACTGAGCACAGATTATGCGATGTATAGCTGTAGGAACTCTCAGATTTATTTGACAGGTGGTCATAGTCTCTTAAGGTTTATTAGTAAGTTATAAAGCTAATGATACATAATAAACTATTGGTAATTTCGGTGGAAATTTTTCATTCTTTTACACCAAGGAGTTGTTAATTATTAGACGCACATACTAAAATTCTTTACCTTTCTTGATCTTTCATTTCTAATCTCTTTGTAAACTGTTAATGCATGCCTGTAAAGAATTCTAACAATGAGTTCATTACCCTTTCATTTAATGAATTTTTAGCTTCCAGATTTGCAAACCGAACTTGAAGTCTTTTAAATTTTTAATTGGGTCATTTTCTGATTTCAAGGCTTTTTGGGGTGGAAGTAGTAAATGTATTTTATTTTTTTTAGTCACATGTGTATTATAAGAATACTTAGAAAGGTATCACTAATCAGGACCTTGTTTATCAACTCACTTTTATGAGTTTTTTTTTTTCAGTTGTTGTTGTTATTTTGCTTATCACTAAATGTTAATGTACTCTATTTGAATAGAAACCAGAACTGAAGAAGTAGATCTTAGATTTGGGGTTAAGAAGGACATTTTAGCCAATTGTTTGGTTTTTTTTGTTTTTTGTTTTTTTTTTTTTTTGT